GGTACGATATCTAGTCGCTAGCTATCATACTCGATATAGCTAGCTAACTCAATAAAAGTGGTACGGATAGCTAGCTATCACAAACCGATATTGCCCGATAACATATTTTGATAGCTAGATAATCTCAAAGGCATTTTTTTGCTTGGGGGTCTCTTGCCGTTGCTCATGCCTGTTATATTAACTCAGAATATTGCTATTGAATTGGGTCTCATCAATGGAATGAATGAGATCGTCCTAATGTTGTCATGATCATCGCACCTTTCTTGTAGTTGGCAACAAATTTCTTATCCTTGAGAACAAAGCCACGGTAAACTATTTCATCTCGAGCACGAAATTCTTCTAATTGTGGGTGAAAAAGAATACCCTCACAAATACTGCGACAGTGTACTTAGAGCATCTGAAACAATCTTACTTTTTTCTCTTATTTATTAGATTACACAACAGTTACGCAATATTTTGTAAAATTGTGCAATATAAAAGATAAAAGACGTTGTATCCACTTTCTTCTTTTGATATAACTAAATGATGGTTGATTTTATATTTATTGGAGGTTCTCCAGGTAGTGGTAAAACAACTGTATCTGAATTAATTCAACAAGATAAACAATGGCCGTTAATTGACTTCGGTTGTCTACGTGTTTTTCATTTGGATAAACAATGGTCAAATCAGTCCGAACTAGAAGAACAAATGTCATTTGAAAACCTAATTTTTATATTGAAGAATTACCATCGTTATTCTTACAAGAACGTGATGGTTAACGATTTACGAGATGAACGTTTAGAACAACTGTCAAAATATTTATCACATGATCAGTATAGATATTTAATAATTACATTGGTCGTGAGCGATGATAATTTATTAAAACAACGTGTACTTGGTCCGCGTGATAGTGGATTTAGAAATTTTGAACGTGCTATTGAATGCAATAGAAACATTAGACAACGATCATTGTGTGTACATGAACATAAATTAGATAACACAAATCATACACCAAGACAAACAGCAGATCAAGTGTTACAAATTATTGATGACTTTTGCTTAAGAAATATATCGGACTACCACAAATAAGTAAAACTTTTGAAGAACTTGTTGTGTTCATAGGCTAGACAAGAATCTTGTAAATATAGCTGAACAGTAGTAAAAGAATTCAGTGGATATTTATTATGCCAGATTTATATCAAAAACAGTATTTCCTTTTTATTTCTGTTCATCTCGTACAACCTGCAAAAAAGAATGAAACTCGGTCTACTTCCTTTGCGTTTGCTTTTCCGAACTTTAGAAAAACAGCTAATAGCCAAGCATTAGTTTTGCTTAAAAAGAGAACTATTGAGCTCACATACCATACACATATGTGAAAACACAAGATGAAATCGACAAATGCAAAAAATCGCCCAAAAACATGTGATATATGTGCAGTTCACACACTTAGTGAGGTTGTTTTATCTTTAAAAAGGATCTATATGACAGGAAAAAAGAGAGAAAATATATGCATGAGATGGCAGGTGGGACGACCTATGACCTTACAGGTCATAACAATCTTCGAAAATTCCATGAAATTCTACCTTTTCCCGTTAAACTCATTTTAAAGAAAAATAAAATATACAGTTTAATAGAGCACCTGATTTACTATATTCCTATAACAATTTTAATTTCTCATCCCTCAACTTAACACATGTCACCTTTGCAAGTGCATTTGCTATTGGTTGGCATTTTTCATCACGCTTTATGTCATCAGGTCACGTACCAATAGTAAACAAAGGAACTTGTGCTTAAATATATTATTATTTAACTATCACGTCATATCATCTCAACTGAAATATTAAATTATGACNACACTTCCTAGCGAAACTTGTATCGGCTGCAATACAAGTTTATTTAGAGGAGGTGCTGAACAACAACGATCAAGAAAAAGAAACAAAAAATTCTTACAATAACAAGGCAACTATCACGTCGTATTTTTGATGATTATCATATAATTTTACAGCATCATCATAATTTATGTTCGAATTGCATTTCATCTGACGTTTCTAAATGGATTACCAACGTAAAAGATTCGTCTGTTGGAATAAACAGGTCCATATCCAGTTTATTATCAAAACAGTTGAAACCCAAAGAAAAAAAGACATAGTTAATTCCAGAATTTCATGGAATTTTCGAAGATTGTTATGACCTGTAAGGTCACAGGTCGTCCCACCTGCCATCTCATGCATATATTTTCTCCCTTTTTTCCTGTCATATAGATCCTTTTCAAATGTTTTCCTTTCTTTCTGCCGTTGTTCAATGACGTCCTGATCTTTCTCTCTTGATGTGTTGTCTTTTAGAAACATCTGAGAAGGCTCTCACTCCTATTGCTCCTGTAATATATACCCACCCCTGTTCTCATTAGGTTGTTCAGTTGTTGAGTTATCGTTTCTCTTTCTCCACCGAGTGGTGGTGTGCTACGATTTCGGAATAAAGGACATAAAGGACGTGAGAATAGTTCTCACAAAGATGTTACAGAAGCATCATCTGGTCTTCAAGACAACAGATGAAAGAAGGGATGGTGCTTCTGCAACATCTTCGAAAATTTCATACAGTACTAGAATGTTCGCTAGAATCTTTACTGTGTTTATTTATATATATACTCGTGTATTTCTGCTATGATATTTGTACCTGATGATGAGTTAGAATAAATCGAAAGCTCGTCTACTTCTTCAGTCTTATCCGAACAGCATACTGTAGACGACCGTTCTCAACTACCTACATTTCTTTGTGCTCAAAAAGCGTTATGTCTATATGTGACATGCGCAGTTTTATGTTGTCATGTCTCAGTAAAGTATTAATAAGTTCGATAAATAAAGCCATGCTACATCTCATTTTGTAGAGCAACAAAATCTCTACAAATCTGTGTATTTGAAATATATTTCAGGTTGCCAAGCATGAAACCATAAATACTGTTCCAAGTGGCATCACGAAAAATACATAGAATTTTTTTTTCCAAATTATTATAAGTCATATAATAACTTGAATATGAAGAAGAGTGACATGGATTATGAAAGTAGACAGTGTGGGGTGTCGAACGGTATACATATGACTGGGTTAGGTTTTGGCTTGATTCTACACGATTGTAATTTTGGTATAGGAGGAGCCCCCTTAAAACATGTCAAATCTATGATTTTCTAATTTAATTTTCTCTCACGGTACGCAACAGAATTTGATAATATATACACCATTGGATAGAGGAAGTCTTCCTCTACAAACCTACATATATCCCGTTTTGTGGTCAAAATTCACCGTGAAAGTCATAGTCGCCTTTAATTTGAAGTCACATATAAACTTAATACAAAGGGGTATAGTTGTAAACTTTTCGTAAGATTCTCCGAGCGTTAATAACGGTTGTTGAAGTTTAACTTTGAAATATCAAGTTATAAGTGAAACATAATATGGGAATTACGTGCGTATAACTGAACTTCGTTTTCAACAATACTTCGATATGTTATCCAAAATCTGAATTTTATACGTGTAAGTACATTTCTAGTTTTAGTATAGTGAGCCGTTTTAACTTTTGTCTACTTTTATTCAATGAGTCCAAATCAGAAACAGAAAGATATAGAAAACTTCATACGAATTTGTAAGTAAAAGACGATGTGGGAACGCATACATAGAGTGTGTTCTACAGAAAAAGAAAGAAAAGATGATGGTGTGCACATAAGATGCAGGGTAATTCGAAAGTGCATCAAAAAATTTTTGTTCTCTCATCAGCGTCTAGTTTCTTTTAAGTTCCGAATTATCAGTCCACTTCTAGATACTTTACGTGCATTACTTTCTCAAAAACTCACTCTTAATGTATGACACCAGAACCTTTTTCGATGTTCGAGGTACACCAAACATCAGTCTTTTTCGCACACACTTTTCACACATCAATTCTACTCAACCAAAGTTTCCAGGCTGGCTTGCCGTCAAAACCTCACAGGTTATGTGTCAATTCACCTACCCAAATATAGTTTATCTCGATCTATTGTACACAATACTGTTTGATTAATTTCATCACAAAATATAAATTTGTATTGAGTCGTTCTCCAGAACTATGCATTTCCATCAATGACATGGTTGAATTAATAAATTCACATCTCAAAGTTGGTCTTCTTTTAAAAATTTCGGAAGAGTACTTATTTAGAGCCCAAATCTTTCAATGATGACATGATGTAACGTCAAATTCCTCTTTTGATAACGCTAATATGTTCAATGAATTCTTCTAGACGTGTTTTACTTCTCCTACCAGTGCAACATCATATCCTTTTTTACGTGCATCTTTCTCTAGTCAATTACAATCTTAGTAGTCAATACAATCTTTCACATTTTGCTTTATACTTCAAGATATACTGAATGCTATTTCTTCGTCGAAAAACACCTCAAATGTAGGAGTGGATAACATGTCGTTAAACATTATCAAGTTATGTCAGCCGGTAATAACTAAACATCTGCTACGTATTATAATAATGTGAAAACACTCATGTCAACATATAACTGAATAATAGTATTATTCAGTTATATTTCGACATGAGTGCTTTTCTCGCGCAATGGAAAACTGGTATTGTTCGCCCAGTGCACAAGAACGATGAAGTATCTAAAATCAATAATCGCGCCAATTTGATTATTGTGTGTTCCCAGCAAGATTTTTGAGAAGATCATACACAAACGTCTTTTAACCTTTCGTCTGGAAAACCACATTTTATGCTCTACTCAGTTTGGTTTTAGACCATCCAGTTCGACCACTGATGCTACAAAACCGAGCTAAAAAAGAACACGTTACTTGGTAACCCTATTTGCCGTCAGTTGAAGGCAAGCACACATATCACACGGAAAAAAGTCTTTGTATCTTACTTTTAGCCGAAAGCTATGCCGAATTCACAAAAACATGTTTTTCATAACAGGGCGTCCGGATGTCGGGATTTCTATTATCTTTCCCCATGTTGGAGGCTGTCCGTTTTTTTTCCGGCTTCCTTAAAGTTGAACGTCGGTCCGTTTTGCATGACCTCTAGCTGCAGTGCAACTGATATTTGGATCGGAAGAAAATGAATCTTTAATGCGAGAATCTTATAACTATACTACAGAAACATTGATTAATGAAACATGCAACGGCGTAACAAAGCATTTACAAGAAAAACATAAAGCAGTTATTAAAAAAAATTGGCTGCTAAAAACCTTAGAAGTAGGCGCTGGAACAGGAACATCAACATTACCCTTCCTAAAACCGCTAATAGATTTTGCTAATCAAACACAAACAAGAATCGAATATATATTTACTGATATATCACCAGCATTTTTTGACAGAGAATATTCGATGAGTTATTAAAGGATAAAGATCAACAAAATCTTGTACAAATATCCTATCAAGTGTTAGAATTAAATTAATCTTATAAAATAAGATTTAGAAAGATATCATTTGAAAGAAAACCGTACATAGTAAATGAACGAGACAGCTGAAAAACAAAATCTTTTAATAAAACACAAGAAACACGCTTATGAATTTCACGAGTGGGGAAACATGTTGGGAGACGTAAAGCGACTTTAAGACTACAGTTTTGTATGCGTTGAAGTTTAGTCCAGCTAGAAGTAGAAATACATAAGAGACACGGAGCAGAGGGCGAAGAAAAGTTTTGTAAACAAACACAGCTGTGTGAGGAAGAAGTCCCCGACGCCTGCCACACACGGATGTTAGGGCACCCATACGTTGCCGCGTACGAATACAAATATAATTAATGTGAGCGCAAAAGACAGCGACTGATCCAGTATAAGACCTAGGTATTTAAAACTTTTTACTTGTTTCAGTCCATTTCCGTTTAGAAATAAGAAAATATATGAGTTTTTATCATGTGGACATTTGGAAAAAAATAAAGACACTGTTTTTGAGTAGCTGATTTTTAAACGCCATCTCGTACAATAGATGGAAAGACGATTACAGAAAACTTGTAACAATTGTTGGCCTTGCTTAGCATGGAAACATTCGCACAGGGCCGCTAAATCATCGGCATACATAGAGATGTTTACTTTCGCAGAAGTGCAAAAAGAAGGAAGATCGTGAATAA